AGTTTTATTTTTGGCAAATTAACATCTTCAGCCTTCTTTCTCATCTCACTTTGTAGCAGGACTTTGAGGGGCTTCAATCTGGGCAGGATCAGGGATGGGATGGGGTGGGAGAGTGTCTGGAGTGAGGTATATTTAGATATGGGTGGACAAGACAGTTACATTCTATCAAGGATCTCCACGAAAGGACCCCAGGCCCCGCAGATTTTCTCCTAGCAACTATTAGAAGGGGTGAATGGTGATTGGAAGACCCCTGTTAAACTGAAGGTGCCCTGGTCGCAAAATGAGTTATGTGCTGAGCTGCTGAATGAAATGTTGATAGGTCTGACCCGCCAGCCACTCCGCAGGAGAAAGGTCAGTCTCCTCCCAAAAGATCCACAGCCGTGAGAAGTCTTCCACATGTAGGGATCATCTCAAAAGTAGTGGGATGTTTTAGTTTGATAAACTAGGAGATCCATGAAGAAAACGAGTGCTCTATCTCTGTGTAAAATACTGGGGGTGGCAGCTGTGTTTGGTTCCTTGTGCCAGGTGGCATGGCAATGACCCTCCAGACAGTGTGGCTGGGGCCGCAGGAGAGAGTCAGACAGACACCTTCCTGCTGGGAGCTGGCTGGCAGCATGGGTGTTCTGACAAACAGAACCATGACAGATAAGAGTCCACCAACAAGTCAAAGGTTCCCAGAGAAAAGAGATAAGAAGCAAACAGCTGCACAGAAGGTTCACAGCTGACTGAGTTCGGCTAGAACTGTTTATGCATTTACAGGTGACTGAGTTCAGCTCGACTTGACCACAGCCCTCTTCTCTGCCATGAGAAGGAACAGAAGCTCGACAGGGAGTTTGGGTTGAGTTATAACCAAATGAAGTAAGAAATAGAAATGTAGACATTGTTAGAAATTTATTAAGAAATAAATTACATTTCTGTCACCCAGGAGCCACGGCCCACAACAGCTTAGATTCCGCCCAGTTCTCTTGACTTTCTAAGAGCTCAGCGTACCGTTGAGTCCATGTTTCATCATCCAAAGATACCAGACAGATATGACGGACAGAAAAGAGCTTTTCAGACAGTGGTTAATGCAGTTGACGTCCACCACCAGGTCACATGCACGTCCAGGAAGCAGGGCTCCACGGCCCCATGCTAGCATGTGCTTGGTGCAAACCATTAACTGGTTTCAGTTACTCAATGCCAAGCCCATGCTTGGGTGAGGTTGCCTGACCTGTAACTAAGACAGCATTTTAATTAAAAAATCGTTTCCCAGAAAAGTGTGTGGTCTGCTCATTAACTGTGATTGTTTGGGTTGATGGGATAAATGCTTAAGGCTAGTACAGAAACCACATCACTCCCACACCACACAATTGCTATCTTGATTTTAACACCTCCTCCCACATGTCACTAAAATGAAACACATTGTCCCCAAACCTAGTTCCCTGCCAGTCAGTCCGTCCTACTGCCTAGTGCCTTTCACCATCCAGCATACCTTCAACCTTGAAACAAACTCCCACTTTATTTTCCCTAAAAATCATAGGCAGGCCTTCTTTCCCAATTTCACCTTCAAAATTTGTCTTTAATCGCTTCTTCTCTTTCCTACCATGGTTCTCAAAATTGCCTGGCCATCAGAATCTCTGGACACTTAGTAAAAAATCCAAAGTCACACCACAGACCAGTTGAAGCAGGGCCACTGAGGATAGGACTCAGTCATCGGTACTTTTTACATTTCCCTGAATGATTACAACTTGAGACCCCCAAACCAATTCCCACTGCTGTCCAGCCCCGAACAATCCTATACAGCAGAATAGAAGGGCCTCCCGAAATTTCTAGAGCCCTAGGTCATTCCTGAAGCAGATTGCTACATCTTTCTCCCATGAAGTGTCTGGTAGGTTCAAAACCACTGGCTTTTAGTTAGCAGCCAAGCATGTTAATGACCAGGGCTCTTTGGAGCTGAGAAATAGTGATTTGTTGGGATAATAGAGAGAGCAGGAGGCCAAGCCACACCCATCCTGAATTTTGTGTCTTCTAAAACTTGACTACTGGGAGTGTGGACCTCAGAGCAGCAGAGGCCGCATGCACTGGGAGTTTGCTAGAAATGCAGAAATCGAAGGTCCCACCCCAGACCTGCTGACTCAGCCAAATCCCCAGGTGATTTGTGCTTCGGTGATCTCAGCAGCACTGTTCAAAGGCATGCCATCTGGGTTCAATGGTGACCCCCAAAAGTATATGCCAAGTTCTAACCTGTGGAAGCATGCCATCTGGGGTGAATGTTGATCCCCAAAAGTATATGCCAAGTCCTAACCTGTGGGACATGTGAATTTTGGTCTTATTTTAGGGCAAAAAATATAATGATCACAGATTTAGGCAAGTTAAAGATCACAGGGTGACATCATCCTGGATTAAGATGAACCTGAAACTCAGTGACAAAAGTCCCTTTTTAAAAATGGTGGGGGGAGCTTTGAGACAGAGAAATATAGGGAGGAAAAGGTGCTATGAAGACCCAGGAGATTAGAGAGATGCACAAGCCAAGAAACACTCAATAACTCAAACTATTGCCACCGAGTCACAACCAATCATGGCTGACCCTTCAGTGCGTTTCTGAGAGGGAGGAGATTGCTCCTCTTTCTCCTGCGAAGTTGCAGTTTTCAGTCATCAGAAAGGCACAGTTTTGGGGTTAGTAGCACAACTTGCCGTGGACTTTGGGAGAGTCACCAGAGCTCCCCAAAAAACCTTCAGCTCAACTCATTGCTGTCAAGTTGCTGCGAACTCGTAACGAACCCTTCACTGGTTTCCTGAGGATGTGAATTATATGAGAGGAGAGAGACCACTTTTCTCCGGTGGAGCCACTGGTAGATTTGAATCTCTAGAGAGGTGTGACATCTGAGTTAGTAGCACACACACACCCTACAGACTAAACTAATAGAGTTCCCTCAAGGCACATGCAAATGGAAACAAAGCAAAACCAACCAACTGCCACTGAGTCAGAGTGAACTCATAATGGACCCTCCAGTGGGTTTTCTGAGCCTGTAACACTCATAGGAGTAGATTGCCTGTCTTTCTTCCACAGAGCTTCTGGTGGATTCCAACTAGCCACCTTTAGGTTAACAGCTCCACTTTTGGCAGACTACGCTATCAAAGCTCCCCAGGAAGACTGTTGTTGTTAAGTGCTGTTGAGTCAACTACGTCTCATACGTCCCTGTGAATGATGATAGACCAGGACCCTGCCCCATCCTCTCCACCTCTGCCATACTTCAGCTCATTGGTGCACTGACTGTCTCATCTCATCTTGTAGGGAAACACTACAAACTACCAAAAAGCTAGAAAAGGAAACAAAAATGATCTTCTGAAATCTTCAGAGGAAGCATGGCCCTGGTGACACCTTGACTTCAGACTTCTAGCCTTCAGGATTGAGAGAAAATGCATTTCTATTAATTTAAGGCATGTGTTTGCTTCAATTTGTTACAGCAGCCATAGGAAACTAATACATATGCTATAATAACAAATGCCCCAAATGATCAATGTCAGAGGGCTAGTTACGTGGAACCCTGGAAAGGATGGATTCACTCATGAGTTCACTGATATTTTCATGAGTTTGGATCTTGTTCCCACCACCTGCTGGTGACTCACTTGAAGTCTGATGCTTGTGGACACCATAAATTTTAATGTATGCTTAGTCCTTAGAAAGGCCTGGTTCAAGTCTCAGCTTTGCTATCTAACACCTTATAGCCTCAAGGGCTCAGTTTCCCAATCCCTTGGGTGGAGGTAATAATAATAATAAATCTATGTAAATTATTGTGAAAAATACAATAAGCTTATCACCAAAGCTGGAGAAACAGATTGCGCTCAGTGGGTGGGAGACTTGCAGTCCCCAGGAGCAGCAGCCTCTCCTGCTGAATGAAGCCACCACAAGACGGAGCACAGAGCACGCTGTAGGTGCTCCACAAACGCTGGCTGCCTGCCCTGGTGGTTCTGTTCTACCCTCAGATCTCCTCTGTGGCTGCATCTCCTTCCTGTTGGCCGTTGGAACAGGAACGATTGATCTCATCACTATGTCAGCACTCGAAGTGGGAAGCAGAGTATCAAGAGGAGAAACCATCTCGTCTCTGGTCCAGGACACTAATGAGAACTCAGACACCTGCTCTGGCCAGGGAGCCCCTTTCCACCTTGGCAAGGAGGTGAGAGCTTCATTTTACAGAACACAAGCTCACTCAAGGCAAAATGCTCTGTCAATTGCTTTACGTTCCAAAGTTTCAACCGCCTGTTTCTGTGAAATATAAACAGCACTTTCACGGTTGTAAGAATTCTCTGACACAGGCAGAACAACGAAAAAAACTGAGCTTGAATTTCTGCCTTTTTTTCCTCCCTAAACTATTCCACAATTGTATAACTAATATGTGAATGTGTTCTTTTTTTGAGGGGGGGGGCATAATCTACAGTCAAGGATCTCTTCTTTTTTTAATTTCAATGAAAATTTACAGAGACTTTGGGTTTCCATTCATTCATTGTTGGACTTTTCCCCCCATCCAACCCTCCCCCCTAATACACTACCCTCTTGGAAAAGTAAAAAAAAAATCTTTCATTGTTTTACAAACCCTCCCTCAGGTCCACTTCATTGTGCAGCCTTCATTCTGGACTGCCATCATGACAAATATATGTAATCGCATATCCCTTTTAAAACAGTTTTCTCCCTTATCTGTTTCAATGCAGTATACATTACTGAACCCATCTTTCTCAGTCTCCCCCCAACCCCGAGGTCAGTCCTGTTTTACAACAGTGGCACCATGCAAATTTGTCCTTTTGTGACTAAGATACTTCACTCAGCATAATGTCCTCCAGGGTCACCCATTTTGAATAATATTGCATGAGTTCCTTGTTTTTCAATACAGTATAGTA